GAGAGGAACATGTGTGTGTGATGGCACTTGATCAAAGTGGGTGTTGCATGGAGTTTTGTGGGCGGTGACATGCGCATAGGGTTCGTGGATGACTACGTTTCTGCGGGAAAAGGAGACGCCGTGGGGTGGAAAGGCGACTGAAAATACGGGTTATCGTGACCAGGATAATAATCTTGTACTTGAGCCTGGACCGGAGTAGGCCGTCCATTGCATCATGTGCGGGATTCCAACTAGTCCAATGGAGCAGAGACCCTGGAGAGTGGGGAGGATCAGGCTGGCTGGGTCGCGGAACAAGTAGATCACAGCTACTCTGCTTGAGCCCGGCCGCTAGGATCCAGGTGCATGCGGACAGAGGTGGGTGCTGTTGCTGATTTGCCTAACCACGTGAGTGGTAACCGGAACGTGTGCAGCATTTCGGGCTCCAAATTAGTATTACATCCGTCTCAAATTACTTGTCTTACATTTGTTGTCTAGATACGTATAGCATTTGGCGCTGGCGAAGAGGGCCGGGGGAACGAGCCGATTCGGTATGACAAGTTTGCGCCTTTCAGAATTGCCATGCCCAGTTGATGGAGAAATCAGTCTGCAGCTGCGAGTTCAGACTTCAGAACTTGAAGCTCTCAACACAACAACCAGCTTAAAGCTCCACTGCGCACGAACAGCAGCTTTCCAAGGAAGAAAAATTACCAGTGATCCTTGCTGCACCGCGCCTGCTTTAAGCCATCTGCACTGCTTCTGCTTTCAGGTTGCTAGCTATCTCTTCTGTTCTGCATTTGTGTTTGCCTAGCCGTATACCAAACCAACTCCATTCTACTGCTTAGATTTACACACACGTTGCAAGGCTGCTACGAAAGGAGAAATATAGGTCTTGTGGGAAATGCATTTTGCCAACAAGGTACTCCCTCCGTCCGAAAATACTTGTCGGAGGAATGGATATATCTAGATGTATTTTAGTTCTAGATACATCCATTTATATTCATTTCTACGACAAGTATTTCCGGACGGAGGAAGTACGAAGGAACCCACAAGATCGATGGCCATAATCAGTACTACTGTAAGTACTAAAACTCCCTCCCCTTGCACCCTCTGACATCTACAGATGCTCCATCCACTTAGCGCGTCTGTTTCACAACTGAGTAGCATTATACAGAATAGAATCAATCACACAAGAAGTTTGCACGAAAAAAAAACAATGAGTGGACAAAATACATAAGCAGAAGAGTTATCCTTGTTTTTTTTCAGATTTTGTTCAAGTTGTGTCAATCGTGATCTAACAGTGCATGCAAAAAGAACTTTTTTTTAGGGTACGCCAAAGGCGTACCATAGCTTTATAGAAGGGAGAAAAATATTTACAAGAGTTTTACAAATGCGCTAGTTGGAGATCACAAACCGACCCCAACCAAGCCTCCACCCCACTCCTAATGCTACTCTACTACTCAGGTATCGATCGTCCTCCAAATGCTCCTGCCGTAGCCCAAGTCCTCAAATCGTCGAAGATCAAGTCCACGGTCTCCCATTCGTTCTTGATTTGGCTCGATCCGAATATTCTCGCGTTCCTCTGCTTCCAAAGTGTCCAGCAGATGAGCATCATGAATGTGTCAAATCCTTTCCGTGTTTGCTTATGTATGCGTTTCCTAGCTTCCGTCCACCATTGCACCAAGCGAGACTCGTATGTAGGGCAAAGCTCCATCCTCAATCCCATCCTGGTCATGCATCTGTACCACACTTGCCTTGAGAACACACATTGCTGCAAGATGTGGTCGACCGTGTCTTCCTCTTGGTCGCAGAAGTAGCATTTTGATGTTTGGTCTTGCAAACCGTGTCTCGCCCTTCTATCCGACGTCCACAATCGGTATTGCACCGCCAACCACATGAAGATTTTACACGCAAGTGGCGCCCAACATTTCCAGATTGCTCCGAAAGAGTGGAATCTAACTCCTCCCTCACAAAGCATCTTGTATGCGGAAGATGCGGTGTAGACTCCTGACACATTCCAAGCCCAAATGGGGCTATCCTCAGTTTGAGCATCCAATTGAACCTCCGATATGATCTCCCAAAGCCCGATGAACTGGGTAAGACCCTCCGTGCATAGGTCACCCACCACGTCGTTCATCCAAGCATGCATGTGCACCGCATCACGTACCAGCCTCTTGTTTGCTACCTGCGTACGGACTGTGGCCACAACCAAGGGGGCTAGCTCAGCGATGGTTGCGCCATGAAGCCACCGATCTTTCCAAAACCAGATTTTGTCTCCCGCTCCGACCTTCCATTTAACCAGGCTCCCAAAAGCTTGGGCCACCTTCTTATCCGCGGTCAAGTTGAGCCCTTGCCAAGGCCTGGAAGCATCTGTGTGTCTAAGCCATTCCCATCGTAATCTTAAAGCAATGTCGTGCTTAGATAAGTCAATAACGCCCAATCCACCCAAGTGTTTTGGCCTGCATACCCTTGCCCAGGATACCACACACTTGCCACCATTCACCTCCTCCGTCCCGGCCCAGAAAAAAGCCCGGCAACCTCTGTCCACCCTTTCCAAAGCCCATTTTGGCGCCTCCGCAACCATAAGGTGGTGTGTGGCCCGCGCCCTCATGACTTGGTTGACGAGGATAAGCCTCCCAGGTCTAGTCACCAAGCCCCTTTGCCATCCTGGCAATATGCGAAGGGCCGCATCCACAATCGGCTGCCACTCGGATCTCTTAAGTTGTTTGATGCTTAACTGGAGACCCAGGTACTTGCATGGAAATGTGGTGATCTTCCAAGGTAGTACCGACTTGACAAGCTCTTCATCCTCCGTGTCAGCTCGGATCATGATTGCCGCTGATTTGGCGAAGTTTACTTTAAGCCCCGATGCCACTCCAAAGATTGTGAGGGTTTCCTTAACGAACAGGAGATCTAGCCATGTTGGTTTGATGAATAGTACTACGTCATCCGCGTACAGAAACAGGCGCTGCATCGGGCTACATACATTGATCGTGCTCATCACTCGAGCCTCATGTGCCTTGATGATAATTGTCGTAAGAACATCCATGGCAATAACGAAAAGCAGAGGGGAAATCGAGTCCCCTTGCCTCAAACCTTTAGCGTGCATGAACTTGTTGCCAGCGCATCCGTTTACTAGCACTCTTGAGCTGGCAGTGGTAAGCAGAATTGCGATCCATGAAATCCGACGTTCCGAGAAACCTTTAGCTCTTAGTACTTCAAACAAAAACGGCCAAGCCAGGGAGTCAAAAGCTTTTGTAATGTCAAGCTTGAGCAGTACTCCTTTCGCTTTCCTTCGGTGCATCGAGCGCGCCATTTGCCTCACTAGCAAAAAATTATCATGCAAGCATCTCCCCTTGATGAAGGCGGACTGGTTCGCCTGGACCAGCTCTCCCATGCGCGGTCTGAGCCTTGCTGTCAGAAGTTTGGATGCAATCTTGGGCATGCTATGCACAAGGCATATAGGTCTGAAGTCGAATACCGTGGAAGCTTCTGGAGACTTTGGGAGAAGAGTGATCAAAGCTTGGTTTAACCTCCCAAAACCCCTTCCGTTACCAACAAAAAGCTTGTGAATCGCGGCAATGAGATCCACCTTGATTACGTCCCAAGCTTTCTGAAAGAACAATCCAATGAACCCGTCCGGTCCAGGTGCCTTGTCCGAGGGCATGTCCTTAATAACAGCCCAAATCTCGTCCTCAGTAAACACTCTGTCCCGCTCAGAGAGATCTATGTGATCGACTCCTAATCCCTCCAAGTCCAGGGTGAAATCTCGTGCCACATCCTTGCCCAACAGCTCTTTGTAAGCATTGTAGAAGGTTTCCTCCTTTCCTTTCTGATCTGTGATAATACGACCGTCCATATGCAGAGAGGGGATGTAATTCTTCATACGTCTCCCATTCGCCACCAAGTGAAACAACTGCGTGTTCGCATCCCCCTCTTGTAGCCATGTTATCCTCGACTTTTGCCTAGCAATGGTCCTTTCTAGGGAGGCCAACCCTAGCACAAGCTGCTTAAGGGTTCTTCTAAGCCATCGCTCCTCCTCCGTAAGCCTCCGATTCTCCTGAGCACAGTCAAACCGCATGATGACAATATTTGCGATGGCTATTTGCAGCTTGATATTTCCTATCTCCTTTTGACCCCATGTGGCAAGAGCTCTAGCTGTGTTACGAAGCAAGATATCAAGCCGCAAGAAAGGATCGGTGATATTCGGATCACATGTCCACGCCTCTTTGACTACATCAAGAAAACCCTCCATTTTGACCCAAAACTTCTCAAAGCGGAACCTCCTCCTAATGTGCATGGACTCTTGAAGCGTGAGGTGTAAAGGGCAATGATCCGAGTACTCGGTGGATAAAGCTTGAAGCAGGCACTCTGGGTGCTCGATCTCCCAGTCGACGGATACGAACGCACGATCGATCTTAGTGAGGGTGGGTGTCTTCCTTTCATTGCTCCAAGTGAATTTACGCCCATGCAAGAAAAGCTCCTTAAGCGCGTTCATGTCGACAAAACGTTTGAACTGCCCGAAATAACTAGGAAGCATCTAAAGTTCACCAGTGCTGTGTTACCCATGTCTGAAGAACTCTAATGCTGTGCATCCAGTCTACTATGCACACGGTAGATAGAGAAGCAGCAAGCCAACCAAGCAAACAGAGTAAATCCAGCACATACCAATACCAAGGTAAGCTCGAATAATCCACAAGGTGCTATATATATTTATATATATGCTCAAAAAACTGTGCAGCTCTTCGACGAAGTACAAATATACTGCATTAAACATTGATCGATAAAACAAACAGAGAGCCCGCCCCATTTGTGCAATTTCCTACTTTCCTTTTCTAAGCGCCGATTTAATTACTCTACTCTCTTTTTTCTGCGATGGAATTTATCTACCCCACTGTACCCCTTCCTTTCTGACTATCCCCCTGTCAGCGCTAGCATCAGAGCAAACTAAATACCAGGCATTAACACATTTCCACAACGCAGCATCAAGGAACCCAGCCAGAAATGAACCAAGCACGAACGAATCACAGGAGCTGCTGCGTGATCCTGACAGATACGATCTGCCCGCCCCTCGACATGTCCCGCATCGCCTGGAACCTCGACAGCAACCCTGTCATGAGAGACACACGCGCATGCCATAGCATGTCAGAACTAGACTTCAGGCAGATATATGCTTTGCTTCAGGTCATGATCTTGCTGGAACTAGACATACCTTCGTTGGGCTTGAGGTTGCTGCTGAGGGCGACAGCGACCGGGGTGAAGCATCCCTTTGGCAGCAGGTTGGTGCGATCCCGGATCCAAGACTTGGAATTGAGAATATCTGCACAAACGATGCCACAGTCAGCGTGAGTGTCATCCTCATATCCGGGCAATCACACACGAGTAATGAAGTGCTGGAATGGATGAATAGTTCAGGAACAAACTTTTGATGCATGGGGAATCGATGTAGTCGTAGTTGAAGATGGCAGCGGCGGCAGTATCCAGCTTCCCATTGCTGAAGTGACTGCCAAGGTCCTCGTACTCCCAGGTCCCATCCCTGAACTTGTTCTCCAGGTACAGCTCGCAGTGCCGCGCATCCAGAACCTGCATCGTCCCTGTACCACAGGTTGTTCCAATCCAAACCAAATTCAGAAACAAGCACCACAATGGCAGGACCAAGAACAAACTCCAGCCTAGGATCATCACCTTCGCACTTGTTGAGGTTGCACACGGGGCATCGCACCATGTTCATGTCTGCAACATTCAGAAGAACCAAAGAACAATGAAGAATGTCAGACATTTTAACAAGACCAGCAAGTGAGCCAGGAATGGCCAAGAAGAAGGGCACATGATCATGATGTATGCACGCACCAGCGATCCAGATGCCGGGGCGGACATTGGTGAGCAAGCAGGCTCCCATGAATCCGATGGAGATCTCCGGGCCATCATCCAGGATCGGCCTCCACGGTGGCAGTGCCAGCTTGGCCGTCAGCAGCAGCTTCGGCGTGTCCATCAGGAATCCACCAATGCGAAACCACTCTGCACCACACCAAGCGTCAGGTAAACACATGACAGTAAACAGCAAGAAACAGGCCAGGAGAGGATTTCGGTAGCCGGCACGTCGCTTGAGGTGTGCTCACCAATGTGCTTCTCGGGCTGACGGAAGCAGTACGCATGGGTATCGTCTGAAAGAAACAGAGGGCGGAGGAGCACGCATGTCAGTACGTGCGACTGGTGTCAGTGGGAGGAAGGAGAAGCACACGGAAGACTCGGTGCATACCGAAGGCGGTGGCGTAGAGGAGGCGCCAGGAGCGGTGGAACGGGCGGGGAACGTGGAGGAGCCTGAGCATCTTGGGATCGTTGGTGCGGAGCGAGAGGTCGCGGAGGAAGGCGTAGCGCCAGATGGAGTCCTCGTAGAGGAGGCGGAAGAACCAGAGGCAGGTGGCGGAGAGCCTCAGCAGGTCAGCGCCGTGCAGGTGCTTGGCCACCTCCGTCCAGATGTCCGGCTCATACCTGCACCAAACAACATGACGAGAGTATTCAGATTTCAAACCTGCAGCACAAATCACAGAATAGACAGATAACGAATTCCTGAATCACAACACAAAGCAGGAAACTACGACTCCAATCCCAGTAGAATTCCTGAAGCATCGGAATCACAAGTAATCGGTTCATGCGTCAGGCATTATGCGTTGGTCAGCAAACACTTGGCTCCAGCGAATTTGAATTCGAACCAAAAAACAAGATAACACAGCAGTAGTCCTAAAGTGCGACTAATTCGAACACCTACTGCTTCAAAACCACCAGCAGAACCGGACCCGAATCAATTCAAACACACGAAGCTATGCCCAGCGACTCTGCATTCCTAATTGGGAACACTAAGCCCAGAATTTCGAGGGCGCAGCGCACCAGTTCTTACCCCAAACACATCTGACGCAACAGAAATTCGAATAATCTCCAAGCTCCAGTCTACTACATCCAGAGGATTCAAACAGCAACACACACTGCAAACTGGTTTAAGTTGCGATCGCTTCAGTACCAAGCTCGATTCACAGAAGCAGAATTCAAAGCAGGTCAATAAGAGATTCAATAAGCAATTCGGTAGGTAATTTGCACGGATTCATCACACAAATGCTCAAGTCCAATTCCCTCCCTCCGATCCGACGCACCAAAGTTCCAGAACCACACACGCACACTTCATGACCACAGGATTCAAACTAGGAACTCGAATCGATTCGAAGCGCAGTCCAACTAAGCCCACCACCACGGGAAAATTCAAATCGACAGACCCGCACGCACGCATACACCAGACAGAGCAGCGGGAGAGCAGAGAGAGAGAGGGAGAGGAGGCGGGGAACAGCTTACCAGTTGAAGGGGACGCGAGAGCGGGGGATGAAGGAGACGCGCGAGAGCGGCGCCACGATCCTGCAGCACCTGGAAGGCTGGAGCCCGGCGACGGGGCTCCCGATGCCCTGCTGCACGCACCTGGCCCTCTTGCTCGGCGCTGGCGGCTTCTGCGCCGCCGCCGGCCGCCGTGGTGGCTGCTTCCTCTCCGCGTCCTGCTTCCGCGGCCGCTTCCTGGGCGGCGTGGGCGGCGGCGACGAGACGAAGTCGGGGTCGAGGCGCCGCGGCCGCGGGCGCTTCCTCAGCTCCATCACCATCCCCTCCCCCGGCTCTCTCTGTGGCTGTGGCTCCGGGCGCAGGAGGGAGAAGGCCTTGCCCATGCAGCGCCTGGGGCTGGGAGGCGGAGGCGAGGTGCCGTGCGCTGCTGCTGCTGCGTGTGTGGGGGGAGGAGGAGCAGCGACGATCGCATATATAGGTGGAGGCGAGCGACACGGGTTTCGAAATTTGAAAATGGCTGGGAGAACTGAAGCAGAGCTGGAGTCCACGCGTGTCGTCCCACCGGTTCACTGGCGTGTGGGCCCGCCGCGACGTCCATTCTGGTGGGCCCCACAATCCAGCGGACACGAACGAAGGTTGCCTGGTACAGTTTCTTCTGCCAGAGGGGAATGAAAAGTGCAGGATTAATAAATAACTGTATGTGCAGGAATGGCTGCAGCTTCTGAATGCAAGCACAGAGACTACTCTTGCAGAGCAAAGATGCCGTTTATATCTGGGTTTTGTAGCAACTACTGTAATTTGCACAGAATTTGATTCAGTTCAAATAAACAAATGGAATCAAGGATTACAGAAGGGAGTTGTGAGCTGCACAAGTAAAGTGCCGCTCGTGTAGCATTTATGCACAATACGGAGCTTGATCCAGCCACCAGTCATCAGAGAACAGGGAAATGGGCGGAATACATGCACTGCTGGAGCGATGGAGATGAACCGGTTCTCTGATTTTGCTGGAGCGATGAAATCATAGTTCAGTGTCGCAGAGCTTGACCATCAGGTCGGAGACGATCCGCCGAGCAAAAGGGATGTAGCTCAAGCTATACCTGAGGTGAAATGAGGAAAACATGGTCAGGTAATTCTGTCTTCTTCTGAAACTAGGTAATTCTGTCAGTTGATTGAAAGGGGGAAGAACAGGAAATAGAGATACAATCAGCGCATTGTTTCCTTGGTTGGGTGAATTTACAGTGTCCAAATACCCTGCATCTATGTTCACCGCATGCTATGTACACATCTGCGTTCAAATAGAGCATTATATCATGTTTCCCTTTGGTTCAAACTGAGATACCGTATCCTACTGTACACTGCTGCTGGACCTTGATTACAAGAAGAAAAAGTTGCAAGGACACACCAGAACTGCATGTCATGATTCAGCAAGGAAAACGCGACGGCAACACTATCATACAGGCCAGTTTAGCTGGTAACTCCAGTTATATTTTTTCTTCTGGATCCTTGCAGCATTACTTATTAGTTCTTACACTCAACAAAAGGTTTGGCTACTGATTGCCCCAGCACTTTCAACAGCCCTGAGGAGCTAATAGTCAGGCATTGCTTACTCCAGGTTCGCACATGCCACGGACCGTTTATACAGAGATGATGCTATGACCACTCATGGTTATGGGCTACTAATAGAGCATCATTATTTGGTACTCCCTCCGACCCATAATAAGTGTCGCAGTTTTGAACTAAGGTTTTACTGCGACACTTATTTTGGATCAGAGGGAGTGGCATTTTAGGTATGTGCTGTTTACAATTGTATACTTGTATAGCTATGTAGGTCCAACTGTACAAGAAGAACGTTATCAAAAAAGACATAGTCAAGGCCCATGTATAACGGAGTGCATTCAAGGACTGGGCGAATTGCATATCATCCACTGATGTAAATGTGCTTCCACCACTCAAATCTCAAATAAAAAGTAAGTTAGAGATGTAGCTCTATTTCGAATTCCAAAAGTAAGTTAGAGATGTAGCTCTATTTCGAATTCCAGGTATTGCTTCTTCGACAATTTGACATGGCAACTGAACGTACTACACATATACAATGACTTGAATAACTAGGGTGAAGAGGTATACATAAGACAAAACGAAAAAAATGAGGACAAGCTGAAAATGATTCCTGAAAATGCAAGAGGACATAACAGTTTTCTATCATCTTGAAGTATAAGCTAATCTCAGTTTTGCTAATGGTCCTCTAGACACACATTCGGTGCATGATAGCACTCAAGGATCAAATGACTGCACATAATTAACTGTGTCCATGTTATATGCTTGAAAAATATTGACATGTGTTCAGATTATCCTAGTGCATGCAGCAGAACGAGCAAAACAAGCAAGTATTTAGGTAGTCTTATGTCTTCCCTTGGTCTAATTGAGGTACATCATGCCTCAATTCAATTAAGGCATATTTGCAACTTTTCAAGTGACATTACAATGTGATAGTTGAAGGATTAACAAGTCAGTAAGTCTACTATTCGTAGGAAAGGCAACTTACCAGAAGAGCGCACATATCTCACATATGATTGCAATCAATGTTAGCAGCTTGTCATGAATCTGCACATAGACCACAATCAGAACACACGGTTATCTGTTGGGTTTTGATAGCTGTTTATTCAACTAGGTTATTTACTTACAGGAATAAAGCCATAAAATGAACTAAGGGTTTAGAGATTACTAACCAAAAGAGCGAAAATCAGAGCAAAAACAGCACATCCAGCATAAATAGCCGTTGCGTAAACACGAACTGGGTCAAGCATCATCCTCAATTGTTTATTTACCCCCATTACGAAGACTGTGCTGCCAAACAAAGGTTGAAATCAACATATTGCAACAGGTGAATATTCAAGAGAAAGTTAAGTAGAGCTAATGCATGAGCTGAACATATGTATCAAACTGGCATTTGACAGGATCATATGATTCACTTGAAAATTTTACTGCAGTTATATATAATAAATAGCAACACCGATATAGGGAAGAGTACAAATGTAAACAGAAAGCCCATCAGTTAAAATCTGTGTAATCACCTGCCAACTGCCATTATGTTTCCAAATGTAAACAACAGAGCAAATTTGATAGGTCTGGCGAAAACAATAAGTGACTGCAAAATAAAATAAAAGGTAAGTACTAAATCATATGAAGAACTTACATTTAGACACGTTTTATTTGCTGCAGCTAACTTCTGGTAAAGAGTTTAGAATTGCCAGTATATCTTACTATAAGTTTGAAGCCTAATGATACAATTTTCACACACTAAAGGAATTAGGTGAATTAACAATTGTCTCCGTCATCCAAGACAAAATCAGAACAAATTTCGCATAAGCATGGCATTTAAAACCTTAATAACTCCAACTAAGAGAAGGCAAAGCATCAGTTCAGCAGTTCGCTAGCACCGACAGGGGACAGGTTAAATGTGACATGAGCTTACCGGGAAGGGCTCACAAGCACTGGCAGGTTAAATGTGACACATTAAATGTGACATGAGCTTACCGGGAAGGGCTCACAAGCACTGACAGGTTAAATGTGACACAAGCTTACCAGGAAGGGCAAATCCAGCGAAGAAATCAGTGTCTTGGGTTAACTAAAGTTCTTAATGCTGAAATAGGCATTTAAGCGTGTGACCCATTTCTTTCGACTTATAGCTTTGTTAAGCCTAAATGTCTGAATGACATATTCGATATTTGGAAGGAATAGCATCAGGCATTGCCGGAAATAACACAGTAAGCACAACTCTTGACTATAGTTCTTAATCCCTCAATGTATAGGATCCAATTGCTGAAAATAGCGTCAGCACGGGCAGCCAACATGGCTAATTATTCACCTGCAGTCAACTACAGCAAAAGCTGTGCGTGCGACAGATCATAGGCGGAAATTACAGCGACGTACCAGCATCATGAGGGCGAGTCCAGCAACCAAGCAAGCCGCGAAGGCGTAGAGCCGCTGAACCAGGCAAAACAAGCAGAACACATCAGATCGACAAGGACCAAGAAAGTAGAAACAGCTGCTGCGGTCGAGGGTTCTTGGAGGGGTCTGCTTTACCTGGAGAGGGGACAGAGAGCAGAGGCCTTCGGTATCACCGAGGATGTCGTCCTCCTGCCACTCCTCGTCGTCGCCGCCGGCGAGCGACCGGTGGAGGCGGGTGAGGGCGTCCATTATTGCTCCGATCGGGTTCTCTGCTTCAGTTTTGGGGATCGGCTTCCATCGGGTTGGCGTGGACAGGAGTGCTTACATGAAATCTGGGCCGTCCGTTTGGCTCCTCGGCGATCTGAAAGCTGAGAAGAAGTCGAGAGTTCGGTGCTAGGAGCATCCGCCGTGTCTTTTTTTTGACACCCAAGCGGTCATATACACGCGCATACACTTACCCCTATAAACGCACATACGCAGATCCTATCCCTATGAACGCACACACGCACACTCTATTTCTATGAACACCCCAAAAGACTGAACTGGCATATTATCTCAAAATTTACGAAGTCACTGTAGGCACCTCGTCGTCGACGGAAACATCTCCTCCCACTGAATGCGCATCACCAAAAATTCTGAAATAAATCTAGAAATAAATGCAAGTACCAGTATTTGAACACTGGTGGGATGAGGATACCACAGTCCCTCTGACCATTCAACCACAGGTTGGTTCGCATGTCTGCCGTGTTAATAAGGATGCGTTTGGTTCCTCAGACTTTTGTTAATTTGCATATGTGGGCGAGTAGGACAGGCTGAGCTAATGCAGGGTCAAAATCATGTGTTTGCATGTTGTTTGGTACTACCTTCTCCATTTGGGTTTATTGGTATTTTTGGTATTTTGTGTTCAATTTTAACCATAGATTTGACAAATAAATTATAAGTTGTATGTCTATTGTTAGATTCATTTTTGAAAGGGGTTTACACTCATGCTATATTTTTTTAAATAACAGTTATCCTGCATTCATTAAAAAGAGTTACTCGTTCATTAAGGAAAACCGAGCGAAAATCAGATTGCCTAGTTAATTATAGAGAACCAAATAAAAACCATCACAACCGCTAAACGACACATATGAAAAACTCAGGCACATCACTTGAAAAAAGGCCTCGGCGAGACCACACGCAGGCGTATTAGGCCTCCAGTGGGCAGGGTATAGCAGCCGCCATACCTTTGACTCGGAGAAAAAAATTGTATACGTATGTATGTTAGGCTGCCTCGCTGGTTATTTTGATCGCTGGCAGTTTTACGCTAAAAGGAGAGTTACCGCTGGCAGTTTTACGCTAAAAGGAGAGTTACCGCTGGCAGGTTTACGCTAAAAGGATAGATGGGCCGACACATCCAGCTAGTTGGGCTAGAATGAATCGAGCGCCCACGCACGAAGCACATGAACCGGTCAAGGTGTCGGGAATTCCCTATTCGCTGCTTACTGCGGCAAGTAGTCGCCGCTTTGCACAGGGCGCAGCTCACCCTGGGCCGGCCCATTTGAGTGGTTTCGCCTCGCGAGATGAACCGCAAAAAAACAATGGCGCTAGGGATCGAAGCTACGACCTCCAGTAGCGATACACACACGCTAGCCACCGCGACCGGCTCGTGGATCTGTAAGAAAGCAATGTTAAACTTAAAGAAACTAAGAGCGACGAAATACCCATATGTTCCTTCTACTGTTTTTTCTTCAGTATTATTTTGTTCTTTCTTGTTTTCTTGTTTTCTTTGTTTTTCTTTTTCAATATTTTTTACTTTTTCTTTGTAAGCTTTTCAAAAAGTTCAAATATGGTTCAAAATTTTTGAAAATGTTCTTTTTGTCAAAAATTGTTCATATTTCTGAAATAGTGTTCACATTACAAAATTTTGTTCAGAATTTCGAAAATTTTCATGCTTTCTTTGTTTGTTTGTTCTGATTTTCAAAATTTTGTTCACATTTGAAATATTTTTAAAATTAATTCAAAAAATGTTCGAGTTTCAAATCTTGTTCGCATTTTCAAAAAATGTTCACAATTCGAAATAATGTTCGCATTGCCAAATTTTGTTCAGAGTTACAAAAAATGATCCCTTTCTCAAAAATTGTTCACAGATCCAAAAATATGTTCGCTTTCTTCAAATTTTGTTCCAAGCTTCAAAAAAATGTTCGAGTTTCAAATCTTGTTCGCATTTTCAAAAAATGTTAACAATTCAAAATAATGTTCGCATTGCCAAATTTTGTTCAGAGTTACAAAAAATGTTCCCTTTCTAAAAAATTGTTCACAGATCCAAAAATATGTTCGCTTTCTTCAAATTTTGTTCCAAGTTTCAAAAAATGTTTGCTTTTTCTATTTTTCGTTTAAATTTTTATGAAATGTTCTTGTTTTGCAAAATTTGTTCAACATTAAAAAAACTTTGCTGCTTTTCAAAAAAAATTAAAGGTCAAAAATGTTCAACATTTAAAAAAAATTATTCGCTATTTTTGGAATTGTCTGTGTTCAAAAAAAGATACAGGTTTTGAAAACGAACTGCGTTTTTCCTGCAAAAAAAGAATGAACTGCGTTCGAACTTCTATAAAAGTTTAGATCTGTCGTGGATTATGTTTTTATAGTATTTGCTGCTTAGTGTTGGCAAAGAACGTTTAGTGGTGCAATGGCTACCGCACGCGGGTATTAAACGGGACCCAAGGTGTCGAGCCAGGTCGAGAACACATGACCTAATCGAGACGCACACGCACGGGAAAATACCAAGTGCTCCTATCCTTGGAGTGATCCCCATGCTTCAACTTGAAAACATTAATTTTAAATGTCTTAAAAATTTCAGAAAAAATGTGAATGCTCACAAGGAATATGACTATAACCCCTAAAAATTTCAGACCCAAACTCGAAATATACATTGAGAAATAAAAAAGACAAATACAAATGTAAATAGTGCCTAATGTTGCTTTTGTCTTTTCATGACACTATTCATGCTAGATTTCACATTTTCGTTTCTCTATTTTCATTTAGAGTTTGGATCTGAAATTTTTAAGACTTGTAATTACATTTCTTTTGAACATTCACAAAGTTTTTCAGAACTTTTTGAAACATTTAAAATTGATTTTTTAAGTTGAAGTACGGGAGCACCCCAAGGATGGGAGCATCTGATATTTTCCCGCACACGCGCATCTCCACGACTCCATCACTTCTTACTCCACCTGGCGGCCGACGCATCAAGCCCTAACTAGCGCGGCGACGCCGTTTAGCCAGGTCGCCAGGACAAGGCGGGCGACCACAACGAGGCAGCCAACGGCAGCTGGCCAGGTCGCCAGGACAAGGCGGGCGACCACAACAGGGCAGCCAACGGCAGCTGGCCAGGTCGCCAGGACGAGGCAAGCGACCGCGACGGGGCTGCCAATGGTGGCAGGCTAGGGGCCTATAGGGCAGCGACAACAACGCTAGTGGCAGCTCTAGCCGGGACCTACGCGCCTAGCGGGTAGGGCACTGGCATTGCCTTGGTCTTCTAGCCATTGAAAGATTCATTATCAATATATTTTAGGTTGTTTTCCTGTTGAAATATGCCTACATTTTTATTGTATTTGATTTTTTTGCTGTAATGTGTATTGACTTTTTCGATTTGTATCAAAAGAATTATTTCCTTAAGACTTCGCCACACCTTAATTTTTTTCCGTCCTCCACCTCTGGGCGTCATCGTCATCCCTCCCCCCTAGAGGCGTCTTCGTCATCCCTACACTCTGAGCAAACGACTTCGACTTCACTATAGGCGATCATCGACTCAACCAATATTGTAGCAGACGCGTGAAGCTGCATGAAGATCTGCGCTAAAACTCAGCCACCAACAACCAGACAGCGCAGCTCTGACTCTGGCGAAGAACTCTAACGGACAAAACCAGACACGACTGGCACCACGGGAGATCACCGAACGGCCACCTGCAACTAGTCATCATATACCATGGGGCCCCGCTGAGGGAGTACTGGATTAAGGGGTCCTCGGATGGTCGGGCTATGTGACATGGGCCGGACTGATGGGCCGTGAAGATACAAGATAGAAGGCCTTCCCTCGTGTCCGGATGAGACTCTCCTTTACGTCAACGGCAAGTTTGGCGATCGGATGTGTGGTTTCCTTTCTCTATAAACCGACTTTGTACAATCCTAGCCCCCTCCGATATCTATATAAACTGGAGGGTTTAGTCCATAGAGGCAATCACAAGATCATACAGGCTAGGCATCTAGGGTTTAGCCATTACGATCTCGAGGTAGATCAACTCTTGTAACCCCTATACTCATCAAAGTCAATCAAGTAGGAAGTAGAGTATTACCTCCATGCCCGAACCTGGGTAAACATCGTGTCCCCCATCTCCTGTTACCTTCGATCCTCAGACGCACAGTTCGGGACCCCCTACCCGAGATCAGCCGGTTTTGACACCGACATTGGTGCTTTCATTGAGAGTTCCTCTGTGTCGACAACAAAAAGATCGATGGCATGCCTTGTCATCAATGACAAAATCACCTCCGGGTGGCAATAGGGTGTGAAGTATGCTGAAACTAAGAACCAGCATGAGAGGCACTTGGCTTCAACCTTTGCCATGGTGTAGTGGTGCAGTTGTGAGATATCCATCCATGACCACTCCGTTGCACCTTCCTCTCCGTGCACTTTGCTTGCTCCAGAATATCTTGTAGGGTCTTATAAGGAAACATCTCCACAAAATCTGAAATTTCATTGTTGAGACCATGCAGAAATCTTGCCATCTTTGACTCCTCATCTTCATGAATACGAGCACGAACCAGCAACAATTCCACCTCTTTATAGTACTCATCCACCGTGTGCTTACCTTGGTTGAGGCGCTGCAATCTGTTTCGGAGATCTCTTTGATATTGTGATGGAACAAACATTCGCCTCATGGCTTGTTTCATCTCTTCCCAAGTGTCAATGTGGTCACGGTCTAGCAGCAACTGATTTTCCTATAGTTGATTCCACCAAGTGAGTGCATAACCAGAAAACTCAACACAACCAAGGTTGACTCTCTTGGGATCGGTGAGGTTATGGATACGAAAAATCTGATCACACTGTTCTTCCCAATCAAAATATGCATCGGGGTCTTCCTTTCCTGTGAACCTGGGGACGTGCAACTTGATTCTTGCTATGTCATCTCGACCATCTCTGTCATGATGTTCTACATGACGCCCATCATCACCATATGCAGCAACATGACGGTATGGAACACCATCGTAAT